ACTTTGTACATAACCATTGGATTTTCCAGGACATATCTGTTGGAGATACATCGTCTAATAAGAAGAGAAAACACTAAGCAGTAGAAATAGAAAGTAGATTGATCCCTGGTGGTGTACAAACTGATACAAAAATTACTGCCCGTGATTTTCCGTGTACCGTTGCATTGAATATCTTTAAGATTCGTCACATGATGATAATGACGCAAACGGCTTGATTAAAGAGTTGCTAAAACACGTTAGATAGATGAACATTCACCTCCTAAATATGGAAAGTTGACTGTATCAACATTTGAGTTATCAACTAAGTCTACTTCTTTATAATTATCGCATTACATTGGTATCATACATAATCAAAGATTAAATAAACGATCTTCGCTTAAGGATTTTTTCATCATATCTCCCGTGCATTCTATTTGATGTCATACCTTCTGCGTTGTATTTGTTCTCTTTTTACCCAATGTACAGAACTACCAGTAATCACATGTCCGTGAGATTTTACATGGTTTACAGAAGTATTGCTTGCTCAATATTATTAATTGTGAGAATCAGCCGTGGCATTAATTGGTAATAAACAACCTGCATATTGACGACATGTTAGTGATACAACTTGATGCCAACAATATATGTCGCCGCTGTAATTTATATATTCGGCCCACGTACCAATGACTGTTTAAGTTGAATTACTGGTTTTCTGTCTAACACAAAAGGCCACGATCCTTCCTCTATCAGACAACATCATAACAGTTATAGGAGATACAGATTATATGTATTATAAAGAAGTTTCTGAATGTGTCAACTATGGCGTATTTGGCAGCCAACTTGCATGTGCTATCAATTTTGATTTGTCAAATATTCAAAGTTCTCTATCAATTTGATCTTATGGGGTGGGCTATATAATGTGCCACAGAGGCCTGGACATGTTGTCTCACAGTAATACGGGGAAGTGGGGGTTTTTTTCATTCGGGAAGATTTCTTTGATGATATGGGCGAGAGGCTGTCTATTTAAATATATTTCATACAGCTTTATTGGTCGTATAACATAAAATTTGATTTACCCATACATAAGATCTTATTTCATACATATGGAAGAAACAACAAAAACGAAAAAAGAAAACCAAGAACATATATAAACATAAAAAATTACATATAAAAAAATACAAAAAAGCATATTGGTTCGCTTTAGTCTTTTTATGTGTTCGTACGAATGCCTCTTATTCTTGAATTGTAAAATTATCCATCCTCATTTTCGTTTTAATTCTTTCGGCTGACATGCGTTCGGCTGAAATGCGTTCGGCCTCCGTAATATTCGTTATAACGATCCCCATACGGTAATTTCCCGAGGTGAAGACCTCTAATTGGATATGAGTATTACGCTCAAAACGGGTGAACAAGTTAGGAAAGCTGCAGGTAAATATGGTCCCGTTCTGTATTGAACGATGAAAGCGTTGACGTTGTAACATGACAATTGCGTTGGTTAAAATTACAGGTGAAAAAATACATGAAACTTTGCATACCACGACCACTACCACTTGCAGACGGTAATGTTTTCTCTCTTGCAACCAAAATATTGCAAATATCATTGCCGTAATGATAACAACAAAGCCGTGTACACAAATGCTGACCATCTTGAGGAGCTGTGCAGGATAATTATTTCGCAATTACTCGATTTTAACCCACGGACAAAAAAAAATGAAAAATCACTCTCTTATATACAGTCCTATCTAAGTGTCGCACGCAAATCGTCTTGTCGCATACTAGCTAAACCATTTATGTCATTACAACGCGCCACGACTAGCGCCCGTTGTTGTTTTTTCGCTAGTACAATTATCAAGTATAATAAGAGCGATAGTATTGGTCATGAAATAGAAATTTAAAAATGATTGGCGTTTAATTTGTACCATGTAGTTTTGCGTTCTCTAATTGTTTACACCTACGATTGAACGTCAATTTGTACCATGGTGCTGATTGCTTGATTATAGGTATAACAGGAAACTAATCTTGCGCTGCGTCACAGACATTCTGTGTGTGATTTTGGCGTAACTATTTGTGGTACAACTTAATGTTATTATTATCGCTATGATAACGAGCTAACAACAGATCGAAAAAGGTTGCCCGGTCATTGATGACAATAAACGTCCATTATATAATCGCTCCGTTTACTAGACTTACCATTTATATATTGACCATCACTCGGCCCACGCGCTGGGCACCAATGATCCGCTGCAAATCGGAAATACGGTTTCTGTTTTCAGTAAACCGTAATAGTAAACATACCAACACAGATTGACGGTTGAAAATCTACTTTGCTGCGTCTTATTGCCTAAGGCGGAATATTATGGGGTAACCTCACACAACATCATAACAATTACAAGTGCATATCACAAACATATGTAAAGCTGTAAAAGGAAGTACTGGCTTTAATACGATGCGAAATATATTAATATGATTATATATGTGTAACACACTTCATCGAGCTACTGCTCTATAACTATAATATATATACGAAAAGCACAACCAATTAGATCGTGATTTGCATAGTAGGATAGATTTTGGAGGGGGCTGTTATGGAATATAATGAGATACAGATTATATGTTATAATGAAGTTTTTCTACGGCGTCCAATATTGTATGTGTCTATATATCAATTTCGATTTTTGTGTTCGGAGCATTCTTCCGAAATCCCGTTGACTAGTAAATAAGGCGGAGAATAAAAAGATCTGCATCAGCCGTGACAATAAATGTCACACTCAAGCCATGTGTGCATTGTCTGGTTCATCGAATCGACAATCATTTTCACCGACAAATTTCATCGATAAACAATGTATCACGTGAACTGACTGTCGGTGAAGTGTACTGTCGGTGAAATGATTTTGATAATACGGGGAAGGGGTTTTTGGTGGTTTTTTTTTTATGATGTTAATATGGCTCTTTAGAAACAAAGCATACTAATACAGCTTTTATTAGTCTTACAACATAACGAGTTTTCTAGTACAGCATGTTATGATATGAATGCTTATTCTTGATTTACTCATTAATAAGCGTAATATCTGTTAAAACAATCTCCATCAAGATTGTACATGCCTTTGCCGCTGTGTTACCCCATAAATTTTTGATACACACACTTGGCATGATTTCTGAACTATCGTCAGATTAAGTATCACTTTATCGATAATTAATTAATAATCTTAAAGATTGTTATTTCAGAAATAAATAATTCCGGCGTTTTGTGGCATATTCTTAATTCTCTTCTGGATGATTTTTATGCCTGGCGGTATACAATAATTATTATTCTTCCACGGATCAATGTCCATACGTTATTGGTCATTGGTTCATATCGGCCACAGAAAATACTAGTGTTCATCATTACGTTATCATAGGATGCATTTTAATTACTTAATATGGAAAACCGTTATTTTTATTTTCGTTGTCAATTGATTAAAAAAAAAAAACGACGACGAATGCGAAAACAACTGTATATGCATTACACTAATTACTAATGTCAATGCAGACATAATCACTTGTTTTCCCCGATACTGTGTATATGTGTCGTCAGTATAATCACGGACTGCAAAAGTTGCTTTGGTTGAGGTTGATGCCGTACGGAGTGCATTGAACAGGGGCCAATGGATATGTTGAAAAGGAGAGGGACGAGAGAGGGGAATATGGACTTAATTTACTATTAATAAAGATTGATGTCTGTCTGTGATGGTAAGTAAGTAAACTTGTTTTTTGCATCGAAAATTATTAATAATCACTTCATCTGCAGTAATTGAGATTTCTTAATAAACTCATCGAGTTGCTAGTCCATCTATTGGATAATTGTTTACGACCACAAATTAAAATGCACCACACACACATCGGTAGTATTCTACATTGGGTGTCTGGGGTGTACGATAACAGATACACCCGGGGGTGTAAATTAAATGGGTACACCCAGGTGTTGTACGCACGGTTAATGTGATATTGATCCGGACCGACAATCATTTCACCGACAGCAATGTATCACGTGAAATGACTGTCGGTGATGTACTCGAATGATGAGCATTAAAATATTGAGCCGTTAGTGATATCACATTAACCGTACGTACAACACCTGGGTGTATCTGTTATCGTACATCCCCCGGGTGTAAGTTACTATTTAGAGCAGAATCCATATCGAGAATAACAATGGTAAAGCTCTATCAGTAACAATGGTAAAGCTCTATCAGTAACCATGTAATAATTATCTTCGTATTGGTAAATCCTTCAATCGACTCATTGCGAGTCTTAAGCCACGTGGGTGGAATGTCTTCTGAAGCTGTCGCTATTTTAGTGGAATTAACTATATTCTAGCGAACTCAGTCACAAATGTTGTGTACTTTCGTCGCTCCCAAGCACAATAGTAACATCACCTTCGACCCACAAACACTACCATCATGCAATATATGTTCGTAAATAGCATATTCAATTTGACTTGACTTCATGCCGGTATTTGCGAGCAAGGAATCCATTCAAGTTTATTATATTGATTTACATAAGAGGGTTGAACCAAGTCGTCAATTTCTAGATTATGAATTTCCTTAACAGCCGCCTTGAGCTAACGACATAATTTGATTAGATAAAAACTTCTTAGTACATCTCGGAGAGAAGATTACTCAACGTTCTTTGATATCATTAATTATGTAAGCCTAGATGTTTTGTTAGTTACCGTTAGCTCATCCCGCAAATACGTGTTTCACACTATTCTTCAAACTGTAAAATAATCCGCCATCCTTTACTTTATACAATTAGTTTTCTCGACAAAGTCTATCTGATAGCCGTAGTTCTGTCACTGATTGCAACACAATTTTTGATTGGAAATTATTGTTAGCCGAATGTGCATGTTTCCAAAATCAGTAAAAATAATATTTTTAATTTATCAAGAAAAAAAAGCCATAAGTTAAAACTAGCCTACATTATTACAGGATATCCACAATCACTTAACTCTCAAATGGTAGATAAATTACCTGTTGAGGTTGATGTTGTTGAGGGAGAAAAGAGAGATGATAAGTTTGTTGCTTCATTGCCAAAGATTCCAAATATCCAAGGCTTTAATCAAGGAGCCGTCTTAATTACTTGTTATATAACACAGCAGCAAACTGGATCAAGAAGTCAAGTAGGTTCTGGCAATTGTATTGTTTTTACAATGCACCTTCACAAGCCTGATAATACCAAACCTACTGAAGTATGCATTTCTGGTAAGCATCTAATCTCATTGTTTGCTATCTATGATCTAATTAACATTATTGTAATGGTATATATGTAAATGTAACAAGTCAGTAATAATAATAATGTCATCTATTTATTATAACAGCCTACAGCTGCACTGCTAATGGTGCTTACAAAATAAAAGATTTACCACAAGAAAGTATAAAAATTGCTTACTGGTATGCATTATTCTACACTGTTTTTTTGGTCTTGGTTTTTCCATTAATTACTTACAAGTTAAAATCATTAGTATTATTACAGATAAACAGCAAAACGGTATTTCAAATAAAATTAGTTTTCCACTTAAAAGACCTAGACAGTTTGAAAGATGTTGCTATATTTTTTACATTTGCAGGTGTTTCATTAAAAACAAAAATATGAATCTATTAAAATAAACGGGCAGAAAAAACGAAGCGGCGAGGTAAGCAATTTGCGAATTGCTATTAATCTCCGATTTATTAAGCTGTTTTTTAATCTGACGGTTACCTTTCATTAATAGTTCAGAAATCATGCCAAGTGTTTAGGTTTCACTAATGGCTTTTTTCCAATATACGGAGTTACGCAAAACCCAGTGACAAAAGAATCTTGATAGTAATGCAATATGCTATAGTGATGGTGATCTTTTACTTTATTTGAACCAGCATATTAACAACATGACATGGGAGATGAAATTAGCGTGTTTAAGGGCCAAACATTTAAAGTTTAGTGTTGCGAAAACTGATTATTATTGGTGATCTGAAGAATACCGAGGGACAGACAGTTTGTATACATGATGGAGACGTTTCTTTTTTTTGATTTAAAAAACAAACAGCCAATAGCTTCGTTAAGATTAGTGTTGGCTGACAAATTAATGACCTGATTGTTATCAAATTTGGGCGTATATTTTGCAGCTTTATCATTCTCATTAATATAACAGGCGGACAACTCGTCAATAACGGGCCCTTAACCGGAACCCCGTTCTCCCTGACGGGTCTTTTTCTGAATCTGGACTTTCTAATAAATTTTTAAAAAAAGCAAATCTTTTTGACAAAAGGAACATAAAGTGCCAAATTGTGACCCAAATCAAATACAGGAAAGTTTCCACTGATGCACTCGAAAATCAAAAGTTTACCAGAAAGATTCTCGGATAATAATAATATTAATTTGGGCCCAGGATCACATGCCTTTGTACGAATGTACAGCATACGACAATGCCCCTCCGTTAGACTCGACATTAAGCGTCTCGCGCTCAAAGAAAGATAAATTTTCCAAAAAAAATTGCTTGATTATTCCTCCACATGATTTCAACAAAAAACCAATTCCGAATGGCATAAAACACTCATAAAACACATAAAACCGTTTATTTTTTCCATCTTCTATTGCTTCTTTTTCAGTATTAATTTTACCTTTTTCAGCATTAACTTCAGCTAATTCACTCCAGCAAATAATTTTAATAATTGTCAATTTGGCATTAGCACTCCGAAAAAATTAATCAAAAAGGCAGTGAATTTGTAGTAACAGATCTTTCAGCACAACATCTTGCAGAACTTTGAAAAATATCTTCTTGCTTTACCTCTGCTCTTTGTTTAAGCCAAGCGTGTCTACCAACGGTGTTCTAATGACAATTTTACTCTTGTGTTGAACAAATGTGACTGTGCTTCCGAAGTTTGTACCATCTGCTGTACCATTTGCCTAAATGGAATGTCTATTTGATTTAATAAAACAGGTTGTGATGACCACAAAAAAAATTAACAAAAAACCCCTATTTTTTACCTTGGCGCATAAATGAGTTTCGACAAAGCGCTTACTGATTCTCAAAAAGGTGGTATAATTGCAACAAAAACTAGGTTACAATGATGCAACAGTCGCAATAATGATCGCACCACAGTTCAACGGTTTTTTGCAAAAACGATCAGGTCGGCCGCGCATTCTCTCAATCAGCGGGATCGACAAAAATTGAAAACCGCGAACAAAAAAACACGACGACAAAAATCTAAGAAATTACTAAAGCAATTTCTGAAGCTAAAAACCGACGAATTTCCACAAGAACATTTCACCACGCACTTTATTAAGAAATGTACGTTTGTGCATTCCTTTAGAAAAGCCTCTTATCTTAGAAAAAAATTCGGAAAATTCGACTCGAGTGGGCAATGGAAAGGAAGGAACTGGACTGTTGCAGACTGGAAGAAAGTCATATGATCGGATGAATCTACTTTCTCTCAGTTGTGGTGGCACTGAAAAAACGCAATCCCCAGCTTTCAAATGTTCACAAACTTGAGAAGAAGAGTGTAATGCGTTTCCGCAAAAAGTATATCATAATTTGATATTATCTATGCCCAACCGTATTCAAGCTGTGATTGATGCAAATGGAGGAAATACTAACTATTGACGTTCACTTCAAGTAAATAATATAAAAGTGTGCAATACTTTTGTATATATATATATAGATAGATAGTTCAACACAATGTAAGATATAATTTTATACCTAAGCTGTTTTGAAGCAAACATATAAGCAAGAATATATTTGGAGTTAAGTTTTGTGAATATCCGTCGATTTGAATTCAGAAGTTCTAATGCAACTGATCATAAAAATACCGAGTATCTACCCAAACGCATCATACTAACTTTTTCTTTCCTGCGATGGGCTATTCCTGAGGGTTCTTCTCAGCATCGCTTCATGATGGGCTTGTGTGATTAACGATTATACTAGTCGT